CTCGGTCGAGTACCAAATCGAACCCGATAGGTAGATTGGATGCCTAGTGCGCGATGCGTAAATTGAATGCGGGCATGGTATAAATCGATTACATCAAGGACAAAGGGCTTACCGCCATTTCCGAGCGTGAAGCCGGTGATCAACGCCAGTGCTCGTCATCCAGTTCTTCACTCCGCTGCTCGCCGTCCAGATCTTGCGCTCGCCGCCGCCTGTGTTAGAGTGGAGAGTGAGTGATGAGAGAAGGATGAAGGTAGTTATGGCGGTGCATCAGGAAACAATGCGACGTCTTGAACGTGGCTTCTCGTGTGCAGCCTCCGACGCCCACGTGCCTCGAGTTGTGTCGCTCGGGCATGGCCGTGAGAAAACGACCGATTCGAGCGTTCCTACTCAGCCAGGCCCGGAGGTGCTTCAAACATCGTGCGGGCCGAGATTAGGTGCAAGGCAGGCAACCAAACGGGCCAAAACTGCATCGTGCGGGCCTGGTTGGACCTAATGCAAGCTACCAAAAATGCCATAAGTGATTTAGTTCAGATATTGGAGCAAACATGATTAGAAATTCACAGTGTGAGAGCGGAAAGTCTGCTTTAATTATCGACCCTAAGAGCATATCTCCGGATATTATGATCTGGTTCATCACATTTGTAGAGATACGGGATACCGATGAGTTAACTTATCTGTAAGTGGACTTTGTTGGTTAGTGTCTTTTCTCATGATATTCCCAGATGGACTTAGTTTGGAAGTAGGAATTGATATGTCTCATTTTACTTTCAGAGACTGAAATGCACTATGGATGTGACGATAAACTATTGTGAAGTAAGAAAGTCAGCACAATCTAATATGTGTAGGATTAAATTTACCATTTTTCTACATTGGATAGATGGACCACATTTTCGCATGTTTTGGAAAGTTTATGTGTAACTGCGCCTTCTAATATTCTTGCGAAATAGTAGTGACACCATGGTATCTTCAAAGAATTATTGTGAGATGATCAAATTTGTTCCCCCACAAGTTAGCAAGTCCTGACAGCAATATTTCTTTTGAGCAAGCTTCTGATAGCAACTTAAGCCAGGTTAGGAGTAAGATGGACATTACTTATTGTGATGTGTATATTTTGACTTCAAGCAATCATTCTATATTTTAATTCTGATATATTGTTAGAATTTATAATATTACAGTGCTGTTAAAATAGCCTTCACAAATCACAATTTAAGATCGTGACCTGAGTATTGAATTCACCATCCAAATAATACAGGAGCCAACATGGAGCTTTCAATGAATAATGCTTCCTAAATATATAAGCTTTCCTTTGACCATATTCAGGTCCCAGTTTCCTCAAACTTGATCTGGAATTCTAAGTGTTCTTCTAATCTGAAAGCATTTGCTTGGCTACTTCTGAATGGTAGACTCGATACTAAAGAGATGCTTCAAAGAAGAAATATCCAGATTAACAACAAAGTAAACTGGATTCTCTGCAGTATTGGCCAGCTTGAGACCACGGATCGCCTCTTATCGAACTGTTGCTTCAACAGAGATTTCTGGAACTTGCGGTGGAAATCATGCTCATTATAGCCAGTTCATCCTTCAACAAGCCTTTCTTCATGGAGGTCTTTGTTGTAACTGCCTGGAACATTTGGAAGCAGATAAACTCTAAGATCTTTGAAGATGTAATCATAGTTTAGGTGTTTGGTCTTGCATATTCAAAAGAGACATTTCCTTCTTTTGTACAGAGTGAAGGAGTGTGTGAATCCCCCCTTAAATGCTGGTTTGACGATCTGGGCTATGCCCCTCCCCATTTTTACTGCCTTCCTCCTTATATACCATACGCACATATCGTCTTGTAAATACTTCTGGTCTCGATAAAATGTTACTGTTGGGGCCTCCCCTACAGTTTTTCACTCAAAAAAAGTTCCTATTATTACTGACTTGCTATCCCCTATTTGTAACTGAAGAAAATTCTTTCTATGACCTGCAGGGGATCCTTCAAGTAAACCTAACCTTCACCTCGCGAACAGGCTAGATCGTGATACCAGTGGTCTCATGGTCATCACCAAATGCAACAAAGTTGCAGCGAAGCTTGTGAAGGCCTTTACTGAGCACAAAGTGAAGATAACATATCTAGCTCTTTGCATAGGTTACCCACCAGCGTGGGAAAAGATTAAGATATGTTCTGGTCATGGGCGATCAAAACACGGCGCTTGGCGTGTGTACGCTATGTCTGACGTTGGCCGAACACTACCAGGGGGTTCCTCTGTAAGGGACATGAGCACAAAATTCGAAGTGCTAGGGACAGATGGTGAAGGACAGTACAGAGAACCATCTAATGTTGACATTGATGATATAGAGTCGATTACAGTACAAGAGAAAGCAGCTGACCAAACTTCAAATGTTGATGTGAAGAACCACATGATTTTTGTTAGAGCCTATCCTCAAAGTGGACGAACACACCAGATTCGTCTGCACTGTCAATATCTTGGGTTTCCTATCAGAGGTGATGTGAAGTACGGAGGAGTGATCGAGTGGAACGGTGTGGACTGTGATGGTCATGCGTTGCATGCAGAAAGCTTATCGTTTGTGCATCCGGTAACTGGATTGCCTGTCACATTCCGAGCACCTCTCCCTTCATGGGCAAGTAAAATTATTTCAACAATGGGATGAAATTCCCTTGACCTTATTGTGATGCATGGCCCTCCAGTCAGTTTTGCTGAAACTTTCAAGCAAGACCAGCATTGAACTGCCAGAAGCACCTCTTGGAGGTCCTCAAGGAGAGCAGCATTCATCGGTAACCATGAAAAGAAGAATTCTGACAATTGTTTGCAGCTCGCCAACGTAGTGAAGAATCTTGGACATATGTACTTGTTGAATAGGCTAAGTACTGGATTATTGTTGTAGCACAGATTTTCACTTTGGGGGTATGGCAACTGTATCCATGAAATTAACTTTTTTGCTGTGTAGCATCCATATGGTTGTTGTAGCAGTATTTTCAGTACTGCAGTTGTAACCATGCACATTGTACCGTGGGATATTCAGTTCTTGAACAACAGAGTCTGTTCTGTTGCACCAAACTTTTAGCATCCAGATCTGGAGATACTAGAAAAGGAACTAGAGTAGAGGGAAATACACAGGAGCTCCTGGGTGCTCCACCCCCTTATATGAATATTAAGAAATCTAGAAGCTTGAGATATCAAATTTGGGTACCCAATCTACTCCCGTGTGAAGTTTCAGAAATGTATCCGTGGCGAAGAGAATACAGTATGACCTACGATCCATCCAAACAGTTTTTTTTCTATACATAGGTATTCTTTTACAGAGAACACATTTCCTAGATAAACTGCTGAAGGAAACATGTCACCCGTTAAAATGTCCACATCCCGCTCTCTGATAAACGTAGTGGAACACAGGGATATTCACTCTTGTGTGCTCGATTGTTTTCCTCCTGGAGATGTTAAAATGATCATTACCTTTCTGGTGGATATCTGCACTTCCTGTCTGTTCATAGTTGTAACATTGGTTCTAGTACATAGCTGAATCAACACTTCCTGTCTGTTCATAGTTGTTGTAACATTGGTTCTAGTACATAGCTGATTCAGTCATCACTGGAAAACTATTTACATAAGAGTGCCATGATGAACTAAAACACAACAGCCGATGTAAATAAAACATACTTGAAGTTCCTCAGCTCATCGTTTGCTGGCATGAATGAAAATATTCAGAACATGTTCCTTTCTTCGTTTTTTTATTTGAAAAAGGAAACATGTTTTCTTGAAATTTACTGCTCAAGCTACTGCAGAAGTGCAGAAGGGAACAAACCACGAAGAGAAAAATGTCCTCATAGCATCCTTTGATTAATGCAATGGACCACAGGGATATTTTTACCCCGGTGGGCTCGGTTGTTTTTTCCTCATTGAGTTATGAAAATGATATGCCGCCTCAATACATCTGAAACATACAGCCAATTCATGCTACTGGGAAAAACATCTCTTGGGAAGAAAGAAAAAACATCTCTCTCAGACTGTTGCATCAGAGGAATTCATCATCATTTGGCTGATGGACACATCATTCTCTCCATCGATGGCCGCAGCTCGGGTTGCAGCAGACGAAGAAGAGCGTCATCCCCTCCTCCCCTCTCGCGGTGGCCTATAGAACACAACCAAATCAAGGTGAGGTTTTGTTCAGGAATAAACCTCTGAATAATGTCAACAGTTTGCGTTGGGCTTGAACCTATTTTACCTGGAAGAAGACAGCTTCGCCATGGCCACAGACGGCGCAGCGGACTTCCTTGGTGCGGGGAAGGGTTGGGTCACCTGCGACGTCCTGGAGCACCTGGGTGAACTCTCCAGCGCTGTGGTGCACCACGTTCCGGTAGACACAGTTGTTGTCTGCGACCTCCTGCAGTTTCATAGCATTTCAAGGTCAAAACAAGAACCTGGCAGCAATTGGCAATGCACGGAACAAGCTCTACTTTTGTCACAAGTTGACAGCCTATGCTATGCACTTCTCTTTCAGTTCAATGTGCTCAAGCTCAGTTTTTTCCTGAGACTGATAACAGCACAGCAGCCCTTACTCTACCGACAGACTGTACAATTTTACATGCCACATTAATTCAGTCTTTCCTCTTTTACTGGAATGGCTATGCTCTTTTCTTCAGTTTTCCTCTTGTTGCCGAGGCTTACAGTATGAAGTAACTTGTAGGGACGAGGTAGTATGAGGTGAAGAAATAGGGAAATCTTTGGATGAACAGAGTGGGGAAGAAGAAGAAGAAGTGGTGGTGACCTGGTGGTCGCAGTTCCTGCAGGCGAAGAGGAGCACCTTCTGGTCCCTGTCCTCCTTGGGATACAAGATGTTGTTGCTGCGGCTCCCCAAAAAAGAGAGAATGGAACGGATCTGCCGGTCAAATCCATGGCCCAAACAAGGCAACAACGAGGAAAGCAGCTTGGGCTTACCATTCACGGCAAAACTTCATGGCACTCATGGCTGCTGCTGGGTCGGTGAACGAGACCTCCTCCTGTCGGCTGATTCGATGCTTGCCGCTCTCAAATCAGAATCAGAGATCCTTGCTACTCTTGGCGTGGAGCGGAGCCGAATCCCTGCCTCTCCCCTAACCCTTTGCAGGAAAGTGGATGGATTGGATGGGGGCAGGTCGGTCTCTCGGAGGGGAAGCAAGTCGAGACGAAGACGGCCTTTCACTCTTCGGGGACTGGCTGGGGTGGAGCTGGAGCTGGAGTGAAGTCAAACACAGCGTGCCGGGGGAGAATGTCCTTTTCCGATGCCGCACTGCTTTGTTTGTTTCTCATGCTTTTGCGATGCCGCCTGTCTGTGGGGACACCGCACACAATGCATGGAGAGGCAGAGATTTCATGATGATAGAGAAAGCCAACGGCGCGCTTCCTGGCCAATTTGTTTTTTGGCTAAATTTTGCTGGTTTTGTACACCTGCTGCAGCTGGCTAAAGGCCAAGAAACCAAAACTTTGCTCGGTCTTTCCAGAGCTGTACCAGCTGGAGGAAACGGAGAAGAATTCCCGTTTCCAGCGAGCTGGAAGGGTCCGTCCGGGCTGGCCAGGAGAGGCAGTGCGTCTGCGTGCACACGGAATGGAAGGATCCACAAGGTTTGAAACCAAAGCGTGTGGTGTGGATACCTAGAAAGGCGGCTCGTCAAAGATTTGTCAATCCCCTAGAAATTTCAGAAACAAGTTAACCAACCGCCTCAAGAAAGTTCTTCTCCCTCTTACGAGATGGCTGTGGTTGCCTGTGCATGAGCGGGGCCATACACAATGCTATTTATTTATTATAATGTATTTTTTTGACAGGAAGACTGTAAGAGAGGCCCTTAGAGTATAATTGGTGCAACGAATCCAAATTGCAAGTATCATGCCTTAAACCTGGGTGGGTGAAAAGACATCAACCCCTTTCCACCACTAGGCTATACCTTAGTCTGTAATTATTAGAATGTATTGAAACAGAGGCAATTAATTAAGAAGAAAAAAGTTAATATACAGAAAATCGAACAAAAACCGTGACAGATAACTCGCACGGACTACTCACAAATTACAAAACACCAACACCACTCAAACGGCCCTTCAAACAAAACAACAACCGCAACGCACGACACTTGCACAACACAATGAAACTCCTGACGAGCACACCAAACAACTGCAAAAACTGGGTACCCTCCGTCATGAAATCATGGACACCTTTCGAATGTTGCAACTCTTCTTGTCTTGCCAGATCCAGGCTGATCAGCCACCCATTTCTCAGGGAAATCATAAAACCCATTGAATTTCTTTGTGTAGATGTAGTCAACCAAGAGGCTCCTATGAGCCAACATCAACATACTGGCCGCATCGACATACACAACTAGAGGATCCACCGACACGACATCATCAACCACGGGAACCACCAACACAACATCATCGACCACATGAACCACCGACCCGATGGACTCAGACACCTTCAGATGCGCACATCACATAAGCGAAACATGTCCCTCACATGAGGTCACCGGTGAGTTCACCTCCAAATGCTCCACGGACAAAGGTGAGGCAGGGAGGGTTCAGACAAAGCTCCCGTAACTCAGGCATGACCTGTAGCACCGAAGCCTTGAACACGACGATGGACTCTCCCTCAGTGGCAGGCAACACAGGAGACATTGTCGGCGATGACGATGGGTTGTCCCCAACACGAGGGGAGAAACATCCATATAGTTATTTCCCCTCTTCCTCTGTGGAGCTAACATCGGCCACACTAGGAGGGCCTGACACCAGAGTAGTCTGCGACATAGCCGACGCAAGGGAGAGACTGCTCATAGTAGCTTCCGCCTACTCCAGAAAACTCCCAACCCACGCCAGCCAATCCCTGCAACAATATTGTCTGATCAGTCAGAGAGGACTACAACATCACATTGGATGAAGCTGCCGACCAACGGTAGTAGAGACGACAGACCCCCAAAGACCCATGGCAAAGCGCCTTGGAGGGGAGTGAAAATTTTATCGGACCTTCACATGAAGCTGGAGCAGGACGATGAACAGTACCGAGTACTAGCGGCATGACAAGGCATGTCAAAGAGCTTAGAGGACGCCATGGTTTGCGGCATTCACACACGAGATGACCGTTCTCCAAGAAATGGGAGTACCAAAGAAGATCTCTGCAGCTAGCCGCACGGTGCCCAAGTGTGAGGCATATGCAACATCTATCGTGCATCCAAGTAGGGATGTGACGAGGAGCCATTATTGGGGCTGGCGACGTCGGGTGATGCGGACCACGCCGGGGTAACACCTCCTGCCATACCCCGCTCGCCTCCGCCACACCCCCCATTAACGGATGAGCGGGGGCCGGGATCGATGCCTTGGCAGCAAGCGGCATCATAGGGACGCCCGTCTCGTCCATTCGATGAATGACATATGTTGTGACATCGAGCTGACACGTGGTTCCTCTGGCCAGTGACAATTTTACACGTGGAAAATCCACATTGGTCTGGGCTTTAAACGGGTTATCGGTGTTGGGGAACGTAGTAATTTCAAAAAAATTCCTACGCACACGCAAGATCATGGTGATGCATAGCAACGAGAGGGGAGAGTGTGATCTACGTACCCTTGTAGACCGACAGCGGAAGCGTTAGCACAACGCGGTTGATGTAGTCGTACGTCTTCACGGCCTGACCGATCAAGCACCGAAACTACGACACCTCCGAGTTTTAGCACACATTCAGCTCGATGACGATCCCCGGACTCCGATCCAGCAAAGTGTCGGGGAAGAGTTCCGTCAGCACGACGGCGTGATGACGATCTTGATGTACTACCGTCGCAGGGCTTCGCCTAAGCACCGCTACAATATTATCGAGGACTATGGTGGAAGGGGGCACCGCACACGGCTAAGAATATGATCACGTGGATCAACTTGTGTCTATGGGGTGTCCCTGCCTCCGTATATAAAGGATCAAAGGGGGGGTGCGGCCGGCCAGGAGAGGGCACGCCAGGAGGAGTCCTACTCCCACCGGGAGTAGGATTCCCCCCTTTCCTTGTTGGAATAGGATTCGTGAAGTGGGAAAGAGGAGAGAGAGAAGGAAGGGGGGGCGCCGCCCCCCTCTCCTTGTCCTATTTGGACTAGGGGGGGAGGGGCGCGCGGCCCAGCCCTGGCCACCTCTCCTCTCTTCCACTAAGGCCCACTAAGGCCCATATACCTCCCGGGGGGTTCCGGTAACCTCCCGGTACTCCGGTAAAATCCCGATTTCACCCGGAACACTTCCGATATCCAAATATAGGCTTCCAATATATCAATCTTTATGTCTCGACCATTTCGAGACTCCTCGTCATGTCCGTGATCACATCCGAGACTCCGAACAAACTTTGGTACATCAAAATGCATAAACTCATAATATAACTGTCATCAAAACCTTAAGCGTGCGGACCCTACGGGTTCGAGAACAATGTAGACATGACCGAGACACGTCTCCGGTCAATAACCAATAGCGGAACCTGGATGCTCATATTGGCTCCCACATATTCTACAAAGATCTTTATCGGTCAGACCGCATAACAACATACGTTGTTCCCTTTGCCATCGGTATGTTACTTGCCCGAGATTCGACCGTCGGTATCTCAATACCTAGTTCAATCTTGTTACCGGCAAGTCTCTTTACTCGTTTCGTAATACATCATCTCGCAACTAACTCATTAGTTGCAATGCTTGCAAGGCTTATGTGATGTGCATTACCGAGAGGGCCCAGAGATACCTCTCCGACATTCGGAGTGACAAATCCTAATCTCGAAATACGCCAACCCAACATGTACCTTTGGAGACACCTGTAGAGCACCTTTATAATCACCCATTTACGTTGTGACATTTGGTAGCACACAAAGTGTTCCTCCGGCAAACGGGAGTTGCATAATCTCATAGTCATAGGAACATGTATAAGTCATGAAGAAAGCAATAGCAACATACTAAACGATCGGGTGCTAAGCTAATGGAATGGGTCATGTCAATCAGATCATTCACCTAATGATGTGATCCCGTTAATCAAATAACAACTCTTTGTCCATGGTTAGGAAACATAACCATCTTTGATTAACGAGCTAGTCAAGTAGAGGCATACTAGTGACACTCTGTTTGTCTATGTATTCACACATGTATTATGTTTCCGGTTAATACAATTCTAGCATGAATAATAAACATTTATCATGATATAAGGAAATAAATAATAACTTTATTATTGCCTCTAGGGCATATTTCCTTCAGTCTCCCACTTGCACTAGAGTCAATAATCTAGTTCACATCGCCATGTGATTCAACACTAAGAGTTCACATCACCATGTGATTAACACCCATAGTTCACATCGTCATGTGACCTATACCCAAAGGGTTTACTAGAGTCAATAATCTAGTTCACATCATTTATGTGATTAACACCCAAAGAGTACTAAGGTGTGATCATGTTTTGCTTGTGAGATAATTTTAGTCAACGGGTCTGTCACATACATATCCGTAAGTATTTTGCGAATTCTATGTCTACAATGCTCTGCACGGAGCTACTCTAGCTAATTGCTCCCACTTTCAATATGTATCTAGATCGAGACTTAGAGTCATCCAGATCTGTGTCAAAACTTGCATCGACGTAACTTTTTACGACGAACCTTTTGTCACCTCCATAATCGAGAAATATTTCCTTATTCCACTAAGGATAATTTTGACCAATGTCCAGTGATCTACTCTTAGATCACTATTGTACTCCCTTGCTTAACACAGTGTAGGGTATACAATAGATCTGGTACACATCATGGCATACTTTATAGAACCTATGGCTGAGGCATAGGGAATGACTTTCATTCTCTTTCTATCTTCTGCCGTGGTCGGGCTTTGAGTCTTACTCAATTTCATACCTTGTAACACAGCCAAGAACTCTTTCTTTGACTGTTCCATTTTTTAACTACTTCAAAATATTGTCAAGGTATGTACTCATTGAAAAAACTTATCAAGCGT